TTGCTGAGCAGTTGCTTTTAATCCTATGAATTTTAGCTTTAAAACTGACAGTAGGCACAGCTGAAGTTTTGGACAAGCCCTTTACATGCCACCCTGCAGCCCAAGAGATGCAAATAGTCTTCTGGGAATCATCTGGAAACGGATGATATTTTTGTGGGGATCACTTCTCACACTTGGCAATAGTCTGTTATTATCAATATACAGAAAGTGATTTAATCTCAATTTTTCACCTTTTACATGGCATTCTCATAACAAAGCACTCCCCATTGCCTCAGAACTTTAAAAACATGTTTATGAGTTCATCTGTCCGACCGTAAATGCAGGGCCTGATTCAGCAAAGCACTGAGCTTTTGCTTAACACGTTTTGCTTCAGAGGGAAAGACTTCTGGGTATGCTTAACTTTTAGCATATGTTTACGTGCTCTGAATTGAAGAGCTGATGAGCTTTTACATGGGAGCAATCTGCTCAGTTCGTCTCTTACTAAACTGAATTATACTGAAATTTTCGCTGTTATCTGCCGGTGCCACACCTCACCTCCTCTGCACAGGAATGTTCAAGGCAGACACTGGAGACCACAGTTGCACCATGTAAAAGGAAATCAAGTGCTAATAGCACAGATGGTGGAGATACACAAAATGAAAACAATTGCAAGAGTTGTCAAATGCTTACAGCTTCACCTACGCTGGCATTTGTAGCTAACTCTTCTTTACGATGACTACTTAAAATTCAGCCATAATCACAAACCCCCGAAATACTGATTGCAGTTTATTAGGAAACAGCACTTGAAGATGGAAAAAGAGGAATATTGTTAGCCTGACTATTAAACTCTGGTAGTGAGCCAATTGCAAGGGAAAAAAATCTGTGCCATTTCTAGCTGAAAGTGAATTAGAAATGGAGTTATAAATCCTCCAATAAGGTATATGATTCATATACCCCTGAATAATCCTAGTCACCTCAACCATCAGATATTTGCAGATATTTATGCTTGATTTATTCCCTCCTTTCATCTGAAATGCTGACACCTCAGGCATAGTAAGAACTGCAAGGAAGACCAAAAGCGTTCCAACCTACTTGGGATATAACCAAGAGAATCACGCACGATGAAACACAAAAAAAATTAGGCTCTGATTAAAGTAAACAGATAATGAGGGATCCTTCCACAACGGCATCTATATTGCAGATTCAGCTGAGGCTGGAAAATGATCCAATCCTTCACAGAAAGTCACAGTTCACAGACATCTAATGCCAGTCCAAACAAACACATCAAGGGTCACAGCAATATTTCCATTTACAGACATGTGGGTCCCCCTACACAGGGGCTTAACAGCCTCTTTCTTGCTCTCTGTTAACTGGCAATAAACATGCTGCAGATGCAGCATGACCTCAAGTTTAACTGCCTACATTATGGCAGTGTCAGAGTCTCAGCACAGGCTGTCTCTGCCCAATGGTATTTATGATCAATGGTCTAGATAGAGAGACAGTTGATGAGTGTGGAAAAGCAGACAAAACCAGGTCAGTATGACAAGTGGTGGTCCAGCTGGTTTGAATGCCTAGATTTTGGGGAAAGGTTTTACAAGAAAAAAATAAGAACATTTTTCAAGAAGAGTAGAGATATAGTGTACGAAAACATCATTATCAAGCACAAGACTGGGAGGATGGAGAGAACAGAGAAAGAGAGTAAGTGCTTCCCAATCTCTGTATCAAGTTTGAAACCTTTTACTCTTGGAAAAAGATTAAGTGTCACTTAAGCCTTCCTCAAAGATGCAGATTCTAAAGCCCAAGGCAGGTGCAGTCCTGTGAACACTATTCTGTATTGCAAAATAACTATTTCCTCAGATCTCTACAGAACATTACTTATTAGAAAACTTGGGAAAAGCTTTCCATAGATAACAGCGCCCAGGGTATCTGCTGGTACCTAACCTCCTCTCTCCACATTACACGCAATAGGACCTGATCTGATCCACCTCTACTTAGGGCAAATGTTTATGTCTTGGTTCAGCTAACAGGCTCTACAACACCTACACACAGCAGTTTCGAGTATCTATTTCAGTGAAAAAGTGGAGGTCTTAACAGATTGAATGCTCAATACTAACCATTCACTTTTCAGAAGTTTTCTATATTAGCAGCGTTGGTAGAAAGAAGCAATGCATTTTAAAATCGGCACTGAGGAAAACGCAGTATAAATTCTTCAGTGCCAAAAAACAGTGTAGTAGGTAACGCCCCAAAATTTCCTTGGTACACACGTAATTTACTTCAAAAAAAGACATTTCTCAAAAAATCTTACTTACATCTGAGTGTTTACAACAGGCTTTTTGTAACAGCACTGAAGGCTGCTGCTTCTGATTCCATTTCCAGCCCAAACCATAAGAAAGAGGGAGTTAACAGAGTAACAATGCACATATTCCCAAACTCAACAGACAAAGGGCAAAACAATGGTTAATGATAAATGTGATGCAAAATGAATACCTAACCGTCTTGCCTTTAACTGATTAAATAAATAATAATGAAAAAGGAGGATTAATTCCATTCTGGGCCCCTAATTCACCGTATGCAGCTACAAGCAAGACCCTGAGGTGGAGGGGTGCAGGGGGAAGTTCCCAGGAGCTCGGCCAGACGGAGTCGATTGCTCATACAGTAAGTGAAAGACAGTATTCCTTCTTTCCAAATACCTCTTGAAACACCAGGGCCACTGAACACTAACAAATGAGATCCTATGACAAAGAACAAGACTGTAAGTGTGACCATCAGAAACAAATGCATTAGTTACACCTACTGTGTCAAAAGCCAGTCTCCTGAGAAACTAATCGAGGAAACAGGAAAACTGGATTTCAGATGAATTCAAGCAGCAAATGTTAGCGATTGCCACGCGACTTACTGTTTGACATCATCCTTGCCTGAAACAACTTCGTTATTTAATTCAAGTGCTATTTATCAGCCTGAGTAGTGCTTGCAGAAGCCACAGCTTGGTAGTATCTACAGTCCATCAAAAACTTTGTTTTTCCACTGACCCTAACTACACGGCAGTCCTACTTACTATTCAGCCTGTCTGTCTCCATTTGCAGGGGTTCTAGCTGAGCACAGATCTCTGACCCGAAACCATCAGCCTTTCATGGTTTGTTGGATACATGCTTTGGGGCAAGTCTGGTGAATGGAAAACATACTTTCTCTATCCCAGCATCAGGGAGACAAAAGAAAAGAAGAATTGATCTGAGAGCAAAATCTGTAGCTCACCTCAAGCACATCAAAGCCAAGAGAAGTAGTTATCCACTGCACCTTCACTCTTCAGCCAGAATACCTGTTCTGTTTTAAAGTACTGCCTATTCTCACAGTCGCAAACTAAGGTGCCTTTGGTGGTGAACTATATGGACCGTATGCAGCTGAAGCAAATTCTAAGGCATAAATCTCCTAAAAGGAGGCATAAAAGAAAAGACTTTCTAGGCCAATCACTGCAAAAAGAATAGAAAGGGAAGGAGTGAGCACTATTTAACATGAGGTGAAGGTGGCAAGTTACAGCAATAGCAGCAAGATGCTGCCGCTTTTCTGTCCCCCAGTCCAAACTTAGGCACGGATCCCAACACTAACTGGAGCTTTTATTTACTTTTAAAATTACTGCATAGGGAACTTAAGACATTATTTCACAGCAAAAATGCAAGTAACAACAAGCTGATAATGATATTCCTGTCGAGAACAGAACTTCTGCAGAGAAGGACATCTACTCAGAACAGCCAATTATAATGAGTTTAATTTAAATAAAAGCAAGCACAGGTAAGACCTTCACTCCCCATATCACAGTTTAATGCTCTAATCACTGCTCAAAAGAGAATTTTGACTGGGAAGGTCGAGTCAACCTCAAGCTATTCTGAACTGTCACCCCTAGAATTATGAAACACAACAGCAGGTAGCCCACCCTGATGTCTCATGTTACAGCAGCTGCATTTACACATTGAAATGTTCAGGGAAAGTTCATCACGAGAGGTTAAAGAAAGCTGTTTTATATCATGCACTAATTCATTTACAGCAGCAGTAGCTAGGAGAAGACATATAAAGAGAATAAAGACTATTGATTTTGGTTTGTTTGTTTGTTTTTTCAAAAAGTTCTGTAATCTTCCCAGGCACTAACGAAACTTGACAGCTTTTCCAGAACAAAACTTTCCAAAACTAAAAGCTTTCTATAATGGAACAAAAAAGTTTTTACGTACCTATCCACAAACTCAGTACTTCTTGAGGAATGTCAGGTTGCTGGCAAGCACTTAGAGTCGGTATTAGGCACACAAAAAACTAGAATTTCCTCTCCTATCTGATTTCCTTTGTCCACGGGAAGAGAAAAGAAAAAAATAGTATAGTGGGCTAAATATACGACTTTCAGCTTTCACTTAAGACTAATAGCTAGTTTCTGTATCTAGTTGTTTCTGCTTTAGACCTCTGGTTTAATCAGCAGTTGTGATCATAGATGGATGATTTTTTTTAATTATTATTTTTTAAAATAGAAATGGAGAAAAAAATCAATAACTTCTTTCAGGGATGAGGAGGTTCTTTTGGAATCCCAGATGATCTTACTACTCACATATGACTGACTCTATTACTTCTGCAGCAGCAATTGATGGGACAGAAGGGGAAAGCAGCATTCATGGGTCTTATTTCAAGTTCAGCCACTGATTTTCTTTTATGACCTTAAGTATTCATTCTATTTCTTTCTGTATCTCCAGTTTCCTCTTATACAAGATGGAGCGAAGCCAGTATTGCCTACATTATAATGGCACCAGAAGAAATAAACTCATTTTTAAGGTGATCTAAGAACCCAGGAGAGATAGTTATGAACTCCAGATGGATCATTCACTCTGAATGACAGTATCTTAAGATCTTTAGACTAGTAAATGATGCATTTTTTGAAGTATCATCAGTTTCACTAACATTTACAACATACCAAATCAGAGATGATTTTTTTTGCTTGCTTGCTGGATAAAAAGCTTCTTCAATTATGACAGCTCTTGTTTTCACAGGAAAACCGCATTAGATCGCTACAGCCTTGAGAAGGCAGGCTTCACCCACATCCTCAACGCTGCCCATGGTCAGCGGAACGTGGATACAGGACCAGAATATTATCACGACATGAGTGTTGAGTACCATGGAGTGGAAGCAGATGATCTCCCCACCTTCGAGCTCAGCCAGTTCTTTTATTCAGCTTCTAAATTCATTGATAATGCGCTTCAGGACAAAAGAAGTAAGGAGGGCACTGAAAATGGTTAAACCCAGTATTTACTCTATCTGACTATAAACACAGTTTCACAGCGTTCAACCTTGTGGGAATGAAACAAGTCCAATACACTTTAATAGAGAATATAAAACTACTAGCAGGGAACTAGTTCATGAGAAGGTAGTGGTGTAACTAGGACTGTTCTCACTGCAGAGTTAGTACCAGCCCAAGAGCTTCTTATCAAACACTCTGACAAAAGGCCACATCACAGCTTGCATCTCCCGTCTGACAGTTTTTGGGGTATTATTTGTGTTGTTTTTACTCCTTCGTAAATACAGTCAGACATTGCATAGGTTTCATGAATGAGCTGTCCTTCCTCAAATTAGTCCTTACTAAGAAAGGCTGAATGAATATTGGTTGCATAGTTGTGGGAGTGCAACATGAGTGCTCTGCAGATGCCAAGTGCTCACTCCAGAGCTTCACGTTCTGCAGCACTAGATTCTCTCTACAAATACAAAAACCACCTTCCTACCTGGCCATCAGATTACCCAAAGCTTTAACAGATTTCTCTCTCTGCCATCTTCCAAGCAGCAGGGGACCAAAACCACTCTGACAGTAGCGAACTAGAAACATTTCATTAAAACCTTTTTCATTTCTCAGCTTGATTATTACAATTCATTTGCTGACCTCCAGCAGTGTTATTCACACTGGTGTGAAATGCTACAGTCTAGTCTTCAAATTGGCTTTCAATATTACTCCTACTCCTACCCTCTATGTGCTTCTTTTATTTAAAAAAAATTGCAGAAATATTCTCTACAATATAGTTTATCAGAAACCAGCTGAGAAACTTAAAACTTTCCTGAGAGAGAGTCACGTATCAAGTTTCCAGCCTCCTGTCAGCTTCTGTTCTTGTCTGTTTAGCTCAGCTGTAGCCAGTTACTACCTGGCTTATCCCCAATAGCCATCCAGGTCTTTACAATTTTACCCTTTCAGCAAGTACAGTCTACAGCAACAGTCCCTTCTCTTGTTCAGGAGAAAGCCTTGAAAGCAGTTCAGGTTTAAAAATCAAAGTCCTAATAGCAGGAGAAACTGCTTTAGGAGCTTACTTGCTTGTAAAGACAGGTACCTGGCATTTCAAAAAAGTATGTCAGAAGCACTGCCTTTGGGAAGGAGTGGATAACTAACATGTACCTGTGTCTAGCCATGGCTAGAGGCCAGAGGTCAGTATCAGACTGGAGTAGCTGAAAAAAAGAAATGCAGACTTCCTTGCTCCCACCACTCCCCTGTTCCTGCAAGACCTTTGTCTGCTGCACTAAGGTAAAGAAACAAGCACAAGGAAAGCAACAAGGGCTAGAAATAAAGCCTTGCATCCCAATAAACATTGGGGCAGGGAAGGATGGGATGGGGCAGGAGGTATTAACCTTTTTGTTTCAAAATGACATCAAAGTCCAGGAAGTTCTGAGGCAGTATCAAGTACCAGTTCAGCACTGAAACACAAGACCAAATCAAAGAGTCGCTGGATGGACTTCTGCGAAACAAAAAAAAAAATAAAAAATCTGCACTTCAGCAGATACTGCCAACTGCAATCATTTCTGTAGGTGTTCACTGCCTGCCATGTTCACACGTTTTTCAAACAAGATCGCTAGGATCTTTTTTTGATGGAGGCCAATAAAGAACACTCATGAAGGAAAAGAGCAAGCTTTTAAGCTCACAATGAGGGAGAAGTATGTTAAATGTTCATCTCCTATCCCAGCCAAAGATAAGCGTAGACACACAGATGCATAGACATTGAGGCTGAATACCTGACAAGAGCTTTGCCATGTACATTTACAGAACAAACGGGATGACTCCTAAGCTAACCGATGAGAGCAGATTGTTGTCTCTTACACTTACAGGACTAAAGGCAATTAACTAGTGCTCTCCTCCAACAACAAGAATGCATTATTTGTGAATGCACATGTAGTGTAGAAAGGTGCTCTGTATTTCATGTGCATAATTAAAGGACTATTTGCATACATCTCCCTGACTGACAGCATCTAAACTCCTAAAAAGGATTTTACATTCAGTAACCAAGCACCTATCTCCAGTGGTAATAACATGGGACTTCAGTATACGATGCTAAATGCTGATCAGTAACACAATTCCACTCATTTGCTACTTTGCATTAGAACCGAGCAAATTCAAAGAAAGAGAGAAGAGGGGGGAAAAAAAAGTTTTGACTTTTGTGATCAGAATGTATTAATGAATTTATTTTGCCTTTATCACATTTTTTGGGGTGTGACTTTCAGCGAGTCAAGAGATTAAATTAATTGAATAAATGTCTTCATACAATGCTTTTTGCTGGAAAGATGCTCAATAGTCAACGTTGTTGAAACATGTCATGCAAATTGAGAGGCTTCTCTCTTTCTGCAACAGGCCAGAAAGCTTGGCAATTTGGGTGCCATCAAAACAGTCCTAATGCAGTAATTCTGACTTAACCTTCAAGGTCTGAAGATAACATGGGAAAAAATACAGTAAAGACAGAGATAAAAAAGCAATGTGAGAAGAAACATGTGAGACAGACACAAAGACCCAAGACATTTGACCTGACACCTCAGTGTTCATCACTCCACCTGGCTCTGGAAGGAAGTGCTGCATCTAGACAGATTTTCAAGAAACACAAGCCCAAGTCAAGTGATTAAAATAGTTCAGGGACTTGTCACCACTCAGCACATCTCTGGCTCTGTGCACTGATACTTTATACTCAGCCACACCTTGAAGGATATAATTGGCCAGAAACAAAGACTGAAAGAGTGAACTCCCTCTTGGGGAAAGAGGGTTCAGATCGGCCCTTATGACTAAACTGAAGAGAATACAGAATAGTTCAGAAGGGACATGGCTCTGCAGAATATACAGCATTTTGCTGCAACAGGCAGTCAGATCTTTAATATCCACACAGAGGAAAGGATAGAGTTCATTTTCCTACAACCAGGGGGCATTTCAGAAAATTGTACAGCCATTTTTTGCTTTTGTTAACACTGTACATTTTCTCCTAGATCCCCTGCATTTGCCACTGACAGAAAGCAAAGCCTTCCTTGTCCTATCATGTATTTTATCACCTCAACAGCAACCCATTTATAAGGTGGGAAGCTCTATAAAGAGAAGCATGAAGTGCTGAACAAATGAGAGTTTTCATCCGTTTCAAATATTTGCAGTAATAATAGAAGGGATTATCATTTTCCAGGAGAGGAAGAGGCACTTATAGTTATCAGAGAGACTGGAATTTTGCCAAGATGCCTCTAAGACTATCTGCTGGGATTAGGATGCAGGCTGTAACCATTAATCCTCTGGTGTTGGCAGTTCTTGATGCAGCCATTACATAGCAATGCTGCTTGTGCCAAGACATCCTCTCGTGCCTGGAAGCAAAGGAGTTAATCGGCAGGAGTCATGGCTTTGCACCCAACACTTCTCACTAGGCATAGCTGACAGAGATAAACTATTATTGGCCCTGATAGGATTTTTTTTTTCCTGTGGCAATTCGGCTTAGCAGGCTGTTAGAGAGAACGCTCCAAATCTACTTCGTTCAGCAGTTCAACCCTTTGTGAGATCCCCTTGAGGGCTTTGAATCAATTTTGGAAATCTTTTGAAGTGTTTCAAAACCTGTCAATCAGACCTGAACCCACTTACTGTTCTCTACCTCCCCCAGACACAGCAAATGGGGAAGGTTCCACTTTGACTTACATCCTTGCTAGTAGCTGAAGCCAGGGACTTTTCCATCCCTAGAAGTCCAAAGTTAAACCAGACGAAGTCACAAAGCTAAATCTTGAAGCACATTTATTCAGAAAGAAAAGCTACTAGCAGAAACTCTGCACTCACAGGCCACTACTGCGAAGAGATGATGATGAAACACTCTGAGAGGTGCTGGTAAAATGTTCCTTTCACTCATGATGACAAGGTAAGGGTGACTAGCCAAAGACTTCTAAAGAAGCTCTTCTACAGTTTAAGAGGTAGTTTCTTTCTACCTCGCTGCTGTATCTCTATTAATTAGGCCTGTGGCCCTTATCCTCTGCCCTCAAAAATACCACTGAGCCTTCACAGAAAAGCTTTGTTAGGTGTATCTTACAAACAAAGTATCTGAGCACAAAGTGATGGAATTGAGATCTTGAAGGACATTATTATCAGAACAAAACCAAACAAGATAATAAAATTCGGTTATCTTTTGTGTCTAGCTGGTAGAACTGAGAAAGGCACCTCCATGCACCCCATTTATCCTCATGAAGGATGGTCTGAGAGCTTACCAAACCCTCCCACACCCTCGCGCTTTGGTCATTATGTTCAAACACAGGATCACACACACACTGCCTGTGAGGCACGCAAGATCAGGCTGCCGTAGGACTTGCCATATTACCGAACACAAGGCTGCAGGCCCCAGGCCCTTGTCTGCAACCTTAGTTCCCAAATAAATTCAAAGATATCTTGTTTAGGGTTAAACGGGTAATCTCCAGTTTAGGTGGTGTTCAGTTATACGCTAAGATTTACAGCCTCAGTTTCCCCACCAGTTTAATGGTGGGCTTAACAAAAACGCTGGTAACGGCAGCAAAATCACCAAATGGAGCAGAGGTTCTACAGAAATCTTCACTGTCAAAAAAAAAAAAAAAAAAAAAAAAAAAAAAAAAACCCCGGGGGTTCCCGG